CCCATGAACTGTGAGATCATGACCTGAGCTGAGATCAAGAGTCAAAAACACTTAACTGACTGAGCCACCCAGGCATCCTGCCTGTTATCATTTCTTAAGTAAACATTTTACATAAGTAAAAAATGCATGTGGAAAGGTGCACAAATCATGTGTGCAGCTTGATGAATTTTCACAAAAGAAACACACTCAGCCAATAAGCACCACAATCAAGAAAAAGGTCATTGACCTCCTTCCCCTTGTGCCACTATCCCCTCACTATCCCTCCAACAAAGGAATTTTATATTCGAACAGGACCTCACAGGGTGACTTTAAATGCCCACCTTTTTATAGCTTTTGATTTGTAAGCTTTTTTTCAAGTTACAGATGACCACAAGTTTAACAGTCCAACATAGTACAAGGTTTGTTATAAAAAGAGAACATTCCCCAGGTCCCTATCCCTCACTCCTGAAAAGGGAATCATTTCAATGTGTTCAGCTAATTTCTTGATTACCAAGAGGCAGCAAGTTATTTTTGTTTTAGGCATTATGTACTTACTTACCTCTCTGGAGGACAGGGAGTTAGCTTCCCACCCTTCTCCAGGCCTGACATGGTACATGTGCACCCCTCCCAGCTCCCCATCCTCGGAGACAGCATAATCTTGGTGAAAGCCATCTTCAGTGTTTGCATTACTTTCACTCTGTAAACACAACTCGGGCCAGAGGCATGTAGCTGACTTTGCTTACTTTTCTTTTCCGGCACATTTTTTTGGGTTTGTTTTTCCTAGAGTTAATAATTGTCATTTTTATGCTTGCTCACTTTCTACAAACTGATCACAGATTCAACCTCACGCTCTGCCAGTTATCTGAATCTCCCCTCACAGGGTCCAGGCCCGCCTGCGTCCTGCTGGTTTCTGCCCTTTGGCTCTGCCTGGCCCAGGCACGTGCCTGCTTTGGCGTGAGCTGGTTGCTCTCTGTGCTGCGGGCATCCTGAGATGCCCTTCCTGACTCTCTCCTCTTTCCTAAACACCATGTCTTCCCCTCCTACCAGCTCATTTCAGTAGAACACCAGCAGCTTCCCAAGGAGGAGGCCACAAAGGAAAGAAGCTTTTGAAATCATGAATGTCTAAAAATACCTTTGTTCTACCCTATAGTTGATTAAAGGTAGTTTTGCAGGATATAGAATTCTAGGTTGTAAGTGATTTTCCTTAAAAATTTGAAGTCATGGCTCCATTGTTCTAGGTTTCTAGTGTTACTGTTGAGCTACTCTGAGCTCTGATAATTTTTGTGTGGCCTGGTTTTTCTCTCTGAACGCTTTCAGGATCTTGGATCGTTCCATGTTTGAAGCGGTACAAAGGTATGTCTTGGTGTGAGTGGACTTTCATGCATTGTGCTCACTAAGCCCTTTCAATCTAAGAACTCTCTTCCAACTGTTCTGGGAAATTCTTCTGAAATTATTTTACCTGATGCTTCTTCTTCTCTGTTTCCTCTGGAACTTTTCATTATTCTGATAGGTTTCCTGGCCTGGTGCTCTACTTTGTTTTTTTTTCCCCCTCTCTTCTTTTCCATCTCATTGTATTTTTGCTCTGATTTTTTAGAAGATTTCTTCAGGCTTACTTTCCAATCTTCCTACGGATTTTACATTTCTGCTATAGCATTTTAATTTCTAAAGGTTCTTTTGTGTTCTCTTAATGTTCCTTTCTATAAAATATAGCATCTCTTGTGGCGCCTGGGTGGCGCAGTCGGTTGGGCGTCCGACTTCAGCTCAGGTCACGATCTCGCGGTCCGTGAGTTCGAGCCCCGTGTCGGGCTCTGGGCTGATGGCTCAGAGCCTGGAGCCTGTTTCCGATTCTGTGTCTCCCTCTCTCTCGGCCCCTCCCCCGTTCATGCTCTGTCTCTCTCTCTGTCTCAAAAATAAATAAACATTAAAAAAAAAATAAAAAAATAAAATAAAATATAGCATCTTGTTCTTGTTTCATGGGTGTGTAGCTTCTCTTGATGTTTTCTCCACGTATACTCCCTGTTCCCACAAGGCCTCCCCATCACCAAGGGTTTGTTTTCATCTCTATTTTGCATGTCAGAGGCTTTGCTCAGGTGTCTGGAATCTCAGTTGTCTGCTCCAAAAGC